AAAACTAGCCGGGCGAGGTGGCGGGCGCCTGTAGTCCCAGCTACTCGGGAGGCTGAGGCAGGAGAATGGCGTAAACCCGGGAGGCGGAGCTTGCAGTGAGCTGAGATCCGGCCACTGCACTCCAGCCTGGGCGACAGAGTGAGACTCCGTCTCAAAAAAAAAAAAAAAAAAAAAAAAAAAAAAATTAGCTGGGTGTTGTGGCCCGTGCCTGTAGTCTCAGCTACTCAGGAGGCTGAGGCATGAGAATTGCTTGAACCCAGGAGGCAGAGGTTGCAGCGAGCCAAGATGGCACCACTGCACTCCAGCCTGGGTGACAGAGCAAGACTCCAAGTCAAAAAAAAAAAAAAAAGTCCTTTCCTGTTTCTAATTGGTTAGCCCTAGGAAGGGCAGTCTCTCCCAGCCAGAAATGGTTTTATAAGATGTCAAAATATGGCCCGAGTGCAGTGGCTCACGCCTGTAATCCCAGCTCTTTGGGAGGCCGAGGCAGGCAGATCACCTGAGGTTAGGAGTTCAAGACCAGCCTGGCCAACATGGTGAAACCATGTCTGTACTAAAAAATACAAAAATCAGCCGGGCGTGTTAGTGGGCGCCTATAATTCCAGCTTCTCAGGAGGCTGAGGCAGGGAAAATTGCTTGAACCCAGAGGAGGAGGTTGCAGTGAGCCAAGATTGTGCCATTGCACTCCAGCCTCAGTGACAGAGCAAGACTCCATCTCAAAAAAAAAAACACAAAAAAAGGTATCAAAGTATGGCCGGGCACGGTGGCTCACGCCTGTAATCCCAGCACTTCGGGAGGCCAAGGAGGGCAGATCACGAGGTCAGAAGAACCAGACTATCCTGGCTAATATGATGAAACCCTGTCTCTACTAAAAATGCACACACACACACACACACACACAAAAGATGGGCGTGGTGGCACACGCTTGTAGTCACAGCTACTTGGGAGGCTGAGGCAGGAGAATCACTTGAACCTGGGAGGGTTGCAGTGAGCCGAGATCATGCCACTGCACTCCAGCCTAGATGACAGAGTGAGACTTTGTCTCAAAAAAAAAAAAAAAAAGTCAAATATATATTTGAGTACAGAATATATATATATATATATATATATATATATATATATATATATAAATGAGTATAAAGGGAAATAAGAACTAGCCCAGAATCCCAGAAATAGACTCTCCCTCTTCTTTTTTAGTAACTTCAAAATATTTAAATTCCTTCTTTCTTAGCCCTAAATCTTGTCCCTGAGATTTTTTTTCCCTCTCTGGATCAATCTTTCACCTTTAATCACAACCTAGAAGGAATACAATATCAAAACTGCTGAGCTTTTAAAGGTATCATTTTATGAATAGTATAATATAAAGATGTATATGCATCACATGTATATGAAGAAAGGGTCAAAAACAGATCCAGGCACAGCAGTGTGCGCCTACTCAGGAGGCTGAGGCAGGAGGATTGCTTGAGCCCAGGAGTTTGAGGCCAGCCTGGGTAACATAGGAAGACAATATAAATTTATAATATGCAATATAAATATGAGCATATTGGCATATTTTGGATGATTTGGATTAACACTTTTTTGAGTGATCTTCAGTTCACATGCAAATTTACAATTGAACTGGTGTCACATTATACTCTAAAGTTAGAGCATTTAACCTTTTTTTTTTTTTTGAGATGGAGTCTTGCTCTGTCACCCAGGCTGGAGTGCAATGGCATGATCTCAGCTCACTGCAACCTCCGCCTCCCAGGTTCAAGCGATTCTCCTGCCTCAGCCTCCCGAGTAGCTGGGATTACAGGTGCCTGCCTCCACACCTGGCTAATTTTTGTATTTTTAGTAGAGACAGGGTTTCACCATATTGGCCAGGCTGGTGTTGAACTCCTCAGGTGATCCAGCTGCCTCGGCCTTCCAAAGTGCTGGGATTACAGGTGTGAGTCACCACGCCCATCCACATTTAACCTTTAAGGCAATGTTGCCGAGGCTGGCAACATTTCCAGAGATCTATAATTACATGCCTCAGGGTTCATAATTTCCTTTTTTTTTTTTTTTTTTTTTGAGGCGGAGTTTCGTACTGTCACCCAGACTGGAGTGCAATGGCACAATCTCGGCTCACTGCAACCTCTGCCTCACAGGTTCAACTGATTCTCCTGCCTCAGCCTCCCAAGTAGCTGGGATTACAGGCATATGCCACCATGCCCTGCTAATTTTGTAGTTTCAGTAGAAACGGGGTTTCTTTTTTTTTTTTTCCGAGACAAAGTCTTGCTCTGTTGCCCAGGCTGGAGTGCAATGGCATGATCTTGGCTCACTGCAACCTCTGCCTCTTGGATTCAAGCGATACTCCTGCCCCAGCCTCCCAAGTAGCTGGGATTACAGGTGCGCACCACCATGCCCGGCTAATTTTTCTATTTTTAGTAGAGACAGGGTTTCACCATGTTGGTCAGGCTGATCTCGAACTCCTGACCTCGTGATCCACCCGCCTTGGCCTCCCAACATAGCGAGACTTCATTTCTTAGAAGAAGGAGGAGGAGCAAAAGGAGAAGAAAGAAGAGGCTGAGTAATTTTTGTTGTTGTTGTTTTGTTCATTTGTTTGTTTTTTGAGACAGGGTCACTCTGTCGCCCAGGCTGGGGTGCAGTGACACTGTCTCAGCTCACTGTAACCAAGACCGAGTGATTTTATATGCTCCCTCTACCCTGCTTTGGTCAGAGATCTCATCTAGGTTCCTGGCAACCTGCAAGCCTAATTAACATCTTTTCCACTCTCATGGCTCAACTCTAATATTTTCAATGTTTTTATATTTAGTTGTCACCCTAAACTGAACCACTGTTTTCCCCCCCAAAACTAGCATCCCCTCAAACTTCACCTTTTTCTCTTAATGGCTCCACCACATTTTGTTATGCAGAGTCAAAATCTTGGTGTTATTCATTAATTTAACAAATATTTAAATATTATTCAGCACATACAACTGTGCAAGGGATGCCAGAGAACACAATGGTAAGTTTAATGGAAACTCTGCCGTCATAAAGGCTTATAGGCTATCAGGAAAGACAACTAAGTGTGCACCCAAACTAGTATAGTGACAGTAGAGAAGACTTCCTGGAGAAAGTGATGGTCAAGAGGGGTGTGGAGAGGTGTGCTCCATGGGTAAAAGTGTAAGATAAAGCATGGCTTTAGACGCACCCAAAGACATCACCGAAGCAGAGTTGTAGGAGAAATGGAGAGTGAGAGAGGCATATGTGAATCTGGATGATTCGCATGAAGCGTCTTGTAAGTTATAAGGAATTTGGACTATCTGAAGAATATGAGGAAGTCATGATTAGTTTTATGTTTTTAAAGAATCTTTTTTTTTTTTTTTTGAGTCGGAGTTGCTCTGTCACCCAGGCTGGAGTGCAGTGGCACGATCTCTCCTCACTGCAACCTCTGCCTCCGGGGTTCAAGCGATTCTCCTGCCTTAGCCTCCTAAGTAGCTGGGATTACAGGAGCGCGCCACTACGCCTGGCTAACTTTTGTGTTTTTAGTAGAGACGGGTTTCACATGTTGGCCAGGCTGGTCTTGAACTTCTGGTCTCAAGTGATTCACCCCTGCTTGGCCTCCCAAAGTGCTGCGATTACAGGTGTGAGCCACCGTGCCCGGGCGAAAAGAATCAATATTGCCATAGTTTGGAGAATTTCTCCTTTTCTCTCCATCCCTTGAATCCAATTTATTACCAAATCTGTCTCGTTATTGTCTAATTTGTCCTTTCATCTGGATTCCCATTGCCACCCTGCCTGGTACCACCTTACACCCAGCTCTTCTCATCTCCTGCTTAGAGCGCTTCAACCAGTAGCAGTGCCCCAGGCCGGGTGCAGCGGCTCACGCCTGTAATCCCTGCACTTTGGAAGGCTGAGGCGGGTGGATCACGAGGTCAGGAGTTCGAGATCAGCCTGGCCAAGATGGTGAAACCCCGTCTCTACTAAAAATACAAAAATTAGCTAGGCGTGGAATCCTAGCTAGTTGGGAGGCTGAGGCAGGAGAATCGCTTGAACCCGGGAGGCGGAGGTTGGAGTGAGCGGAGATAGCGCCATTGCACTGCAGCCTGGGCAACAACAGCGAAACTCCATCTTAAGAAAAGCCAACAGTGCCCCAGACTCTCTCTCTCTCCAATGTACACTGCGTACAAAGACTAGACCAACGATGCCAAAGGTTACACCAGGATGACAATGAAGCCCAAGTCATTCATCTTGGCGCTTCTTTTTATCAAGCTAGCTAGCTAATATTACAACTTAGAATCATTCTCCGAGGCCAGCCAGCTTCCTCAAAAATCTCCCCAAATGCAGTTCACATTCTTCCCTCACTCCTCCAAACCTTATAACATTATTCCCCTTTCCCGTGGCATAATGCAATCCAGAAGCATCCTGAGAGTCTACATCCTTTCAATCCTCCAAGACACAGCTTCTCCTCCCATCCTTTGAGCTTTTCTCACCCAGAATAGGCTGTACCAAACATTTCTACATTGTATTAACTCGAATTATGTCACAGATCGAGGTCTTCGCTTTCCTTTGTCAGAAAAGACTCACATTCTTCTCATATAGGCCTCGCAGGGCCTGGCCAAGTGCTTCCTAAGCTCAGAACAAATACTAGTCAACTTTAATTGAACCAAATCGGGCGGGGTTTGCGGAGTCTGAGGGTGCGACGTTGGGGAGAGGGGGATGAAAACACTGGAGGACGGGCCGGAAGCGTCGAGTCCAACACAAAAGAGGCGTCAGACAAAACGCCAAGAGGCTGGGGACTGGGAACGAAGAAGGAGTACACGGAAAGGCCACCCGCCACCTGCTCGAGGCAGCGGAGTAGTACCGCGGCCGTTGGTAGGCGTGGTCGCGCCAGTCTCGCGGGAGCGGCCGTTGGGCGGGCCGTTGTCCCTGCGGGCGGGGCGAGTTGCTAAGGAAATGACTGCCCGCAGCGCCTGGCCCCGCCGAGCCGGCCGGGCGGGGTCTGGAGCGGCGCCGTTTCCGCTTCCGCTCCCTCTCAGCTCCCGTCCCGTTACCGCCTCCTGGCCGGCCTCGCGCCTTTCACCGGCACCTTGCGTCGGTCGCGCCGCGGGGCCTGCTCCTGCCGCGCGCACCCCCGGGGCTTCGGCTCCGGCACGGGTCGCGCCCAGCTTTCCTGCCCCTGAGGCCGCCGGCCAGCCGTCGCCATGGGTGCCTATCTCTCCCAGCCCAACACGGTGAAGTGCTCCGGGGACGGGGTCGGCGCCCCGCGCCTGCCGCTGCCCTACGGCTTCTCCGCCATGCAAGGCTGGCGCGTCTCCATGGAGGTGAGGCAGGGGCCCATAGGCTGGCCGCTGCGGGGCGGGAATCTGACGGAGAAAGGGAGCGGGGGATGGGGTCCTCCCCTGGGAAGGGTCCCAATCGGGAGCCTGCGGCCGCAGCGGCCGTCTGCGAGGCGGCTGAGACCGCGGGGTCGGGGCCGAGAGGGAGCTCCCGATGCTTGGGGACCGTATGCCGGTGGCCAGTGGCGGCGAGGGCTCGGCCATGTGGGAAGAGGCACCTTCCGCCCACTGGCCGCCCTCTCCCCGAGCTTTGGCGCCATCCTCTCGTGCCAACCTAGCCCTCCAGGCTCATCAAGGGTGTGAGGTTTAGTGTGGGAGTAAATACGGAAAGAGAGACTATTTGTTCATTTGTTTTTCGAGGGAGAGGTGAATAGATGTGAATAACTTTTTAAATTTTAATATTTAAAATATGTGATGTGGGAAGCTTCTTTTGGCTAGGGGTTTGACAGTGAAAGGAAACCCGGGCAGAGTCTGTTTCACATTCTGGTTGCCTGGCCTTGGGCTCTTGTATGTTAATTTCAGAGGCTGGACCCGACCTCCAGGGGTTGTCACTCATTTACACTCTTTTCAGGGCCTTTTACTAACTTTGGAAAACTTGAATTATGTCGGTCCCTAGATTTTCCTTCTTATTATGCTTGGTTTTCTTTCTCTCTCAGGATTTCTCTAAAACTTAATCAGTAATTGTCGTTTGCCTATAATTGTTGTATAGTTTCTTTGATTTTAAGTCATTTCATCAATTTTTTTCATCACAACCTACCTACAAAGAGCTTTTCTAGAAAATTTTACTCTGAACAAAAGGGGAAAAGAAAACTCTGGGGGGAAGAGTAGTATTAGGTAAAACTTGATGTGAAACTACAAAAGAGAAGAGGGAAAACTGTGGTAGGGAGGAAAGGGAGGAAGACAGGTTAACTGTGTCTTTGTGAAGAGCATTCTGAAGTCTAGGCAAAAGGGCCAGGGAAATATTCTGTCTGGGATTGAGGGTTCATCCACCTACCGGGTGGGCTTCAGGTAACAGCGAAATACTGTCTCCCTTGGGAATCGTTTCAAATCCCTCGCTCCTCCCTGTGGTTAGCTCTGGAATGACAGTATGAACTTAAATGTTTTGTTTTCCAATTCAAATTTGATACTCGTAACTGACCTTAATAACAATTTTATAATTAGGTATAAAATTTCAAGATTGGAGTGGATCCTATAGTTCATCTTATCTGCTTTGGCTCCCACTTTTTTTTTTTTTTTTTTGAGACGGAGTTTCGCTCTTGTTGCCCAGGCTGAAATGCAATGGCGGGATCTCGGCTCACCACAACCTCCGCCTCCCAAGTTCAAGCGATTCTCCTGCCTCAGCCTCCCCAGTAGTTGGGATTACAGGCATGTGCCACCACGCCCGGCTTATTTTGTATTTTTAGTAGAGACAGGATTTCTTCATGTGGCTGGTCTCGAACTGACTCGGGCTGACTCAGGTGATCCGCCCGCCTTGGCCTCCCAAAGTACTGGGATTACAGGCGTGAGCCACCACACCCGGTGGCTCCCACATTTTATAGCTAAGAAATTGAGGTGCAGAAAGGTTAGGACACTGCTTTGGTGGAAAGAATCTGTAGGATCAGATTGTTGAAGACACTAGACATTGTTAAGCATCTATGTCAAACTGAAGCATAGCATTCATATTTCACCACCATACACAGTATAACTATTTGGTAGATGTAATTGTCTATTAGAAATATCTAGGTCGGGCACAGTGGCTCACATCTGTAATCTCAGCAGTTTGGGAGGCCGAGGCAGGCAGATCACCTGAGCTCAGGACAACATGGCGAAACCTTGTGTCTACAAAAAATACAAAAAAATACAAAAAAAAAACCTTGTGTCTACAAAACATACAAAAAAATTAGCAGGGTGTGGTGGTGCCCACCTGTAGTCCCAGTTACTTGGGAGGCTGAGATGGAAAATCACCTTGAGCCCAAGAGGCAGAGGCTTCATTGAGCCGAGATCGCCCCGCTGCACTCCAATCTGGGCGACAGAGCGAGATGCTGTCTCAAAACATGAATGAATAGGCCAGGCGCAGTGGCTTATGCCTGTAATCCTAGCACTTTGGGAAGCTGAGATGGGCGGATTGCCTGAGCTCAGGAGTTCGAGACCAGCCTGGACAACATGATGAAACCCCGTCTTTACTAAAAATACAAAAAATTAGCCAAATGTGGTGGTGTGTGCCTATAATCCTAGCTACTTGGAAGGCTGAGGCAGGAGAATCGCTTGAACCCTGGAGGCGGAGGTTGCAGTGAGCCAAGATCGTGCCACTGTACTCCAGCCTGGGCGACAGAGTGAGACTCTGTCTCAAAAAAAAAAAAAAAGAAAAAAGAAAAAGAATGAGTAAATAAATCTGGATATAGTTTCAGAAGGAAAGTAGGTAGTTGAGAAGTTCCATTTCCGTGGCATTCTGTTAATGTTGTGAGATTTGAGGTGAATATTCCATCTCGCAGTAAAATGTTTCTTCCAGGTTTCTCATTTAATATTTTTCACTTCTCTGCTGTTTTTCCATTTATTTGGTGCCCTTTTTCTAGTTTTCTTTATGGATTGAGTTGCTTGGCTACTCAGTGTTTCATGTTGGTTTGCCCAGTGATTTCATACTATTTGCTGCTTCTCTGTAGGGCATTTCCCTTTATTTTTGGTTTCTCCTCAATTAGAAAATGATTTTTTTGTCAGGGACATTTTAGTGTATAGAGATCTTACTAGACTATTCCTTACATCCTAATCTTCCTCCTGAGAGATAACTGCTTAGGGTATTAAAATCTTGCTAATGTGCTGTTTCTGAAGTTGCCCTTGTTTGAATAAATATGCCTAACCAATAATTAAATATGCCTAATCAAATCCTCTTGAAGAGTATTGTTTGGGATCCTATTCTGCTTCATTGATACTTTTCCTTCTGGCTTTTGTTCTCCTTAAAGTATAGCATAGTTTCTTTGCTATTGCAAGAAAATAACTGAGTTCTAGCCTCTTCCCTGAACCTTATCTTTTTTTTTTTTTTTTTTTTTTTGAGACGGAGTCTCGCTCTGTCACCCAGGCTGGAGTGCAGTGGCCAGATCTCAGCTCACTGCAAGCTCCGCCTCCCGGGTTCACGCCATTCTCCTGCCTCAGCCTCCCGAGTAGCTGGGACTACAGGCGCCTGCCACCTCGCCCGGCTAAGTTTTTGTATTTTTAGTAGAGACGGGGTTTCACTGTGTTACCCAGGATGGTCTCGATCTCCTGACCTCGTGATCCGCCCGTCTCGGCCTCCCAAAGTGCTGGGATTACAGGCTTGAGCCACCGCGCCCGGCCCTCCCTGAACCTTATCTTTCCAGAAAATATAAAGTACTCCCATTCCTCTGAAGCTTTAGGGCTTAATCCAACAATTAATAAAGTTTATGTACCCTATTTGCTTGGTCCTAATGCTTCATTTGAGGTGAGGTTATCATACTACTGAAGGTCGTTGAAATCCTGACTAATGGGTAGATTCAGCCATAGGGAGGACTCTTGAGACAAAAATGGCAACCATCAATAGCTGGCATTTTTACTTTCTGCCTCTTTCCAACTTCTCTTCCTGTGTGACCAGGGTGGTGGTGGTGGTGTTTTGAGATGGAGTTTCTATCTTGTTGTCCAGGCTGGAGTACAATGGTGTGATCTTGGCTCACTGCAACCTCCGCCTCCCAGGTTCAAGCGATTCTCCTGCCTCAGCCTCCTGAGTAGCTGGGATTACAGGCATGTGCCACCATACCTGGCTAATTTTGTATTTTTAGTAGAGAAGGGGTTTCTCCACATTGGTCAGGCTGGTCTCGAACTTCTGACCTCAGGTGATCCACCCGCCTCTACCTCCCAAAGCACTGGGATTATAGGTGTGAGCCACCACGCCCAGCAGCCAGGGTGTTTTGAGAAGAGGTAATCAAAATACCACAGGCCAGGCGAAGCGGCTCACGCCTGTAATCCCAGCACTTTGGGAGGCCAAGGGGGACAGATCACCCGAGGTCAGTTCGAGACCAGCCTAGCCAACATGGTGAAACCCCATCTCTACTAAAAATACAAAAATTAGCCAGAGGCCAGAGAATCGCTTGAACAGGAAGGCCAGTGAGCTGAGATTGCACCGCTGCACTCCAGCCAGGGTGACAGACTCTGTCTCAAAAAAAAAAAAACAACAAACAAACCACAGATGATGTTCCCCTCCCTCCTTCTTTCTCCATGAAAAAAGTGGCTGAGGTATGTACTTTGGGATTAAGAGGTAGGGACTGGGCACAGTGGCTCATACCTGTAATCCCAGCACTTTGGGAGGCTTAGAGGGGCATATCACAAGGTCAAGAGACCAAGATCATTCTGGCCAATATGGTGAAACCCTGTCTCTGAAATACAAGAATTAGCCGGGCATGGTGGCGCGTGCCTATAATCCCAGCCACTCAGGAGGCTGAGGCAGGAGAATCGCTTGAACCCAGGAGGCAGAGGTTGCAGTGAGCTGAGATCGCGCCACCGTACTCCAGCCTGGGCGACAGGGCAAGACTCCATTTCAAAAAAAAAAAAAAAAGAGGTAGATTGTGGAGGGGTGCCTGAGAAATATACGAGGTAAGGCCCTTGAGTTTTTGGTGGCTAAATAAGAAATCAAATCTGAAAATAGATTCGGTTGATGTAGTCTTTTTTTTTTTTTTTTTTCCGAGACAGAGTCTCGCATAGCCCAGGCTGGAGTGTAATGGCATGATCTCGGCTCACTGCAACCTCCGCCTCCTGAGTTCAAGCAATTCTCCTGCCTCAGCTTCCCGAGTAGCTGGGATTGCAGGCGCCTGCCACCATGCCCAGCTAATTTTTTGTGTTTTTAATAGAGACAGGGTTTCACTATGTTGGCCGGGCTGGTCTCCAACTCCTGACCTTGTGATCCGCCCGCCTCGGCCTCCCAAAGTGCTGGCATTACAGGCGTGAGCCACCATGCCTGGCCTATCAGTTGACGTAGTCTTAAAGGGACAAGAGTACATTTAACA